TCCCCATTTCATAGACGGAGAGGTGTAAGCCCAGTTTACAGAAGCCTCAAGCACCTCTCTGGCTGTGGGGATTTCCACGTTGATACTGGAATGTAGATCAGTTCTTCATACTCCACTGCTTGATCGGACAGGGTTTGTCCCTGGCACAAACCATCAAATCACAGAATTGTAGAATCATGGAATGGTTTGGATTGCAAAGAACCTTAAAGCTCATCTTGTTCCAACCCACTTCCATGGTTGCTCCAAGCTGTATCCAGCCTGACCTTGGACACTTCTGAGGATGGGGCAGCCACAGCTTCTTTGGGCAACATGTACCAGTTTCTGTGTGACACCGGAGTAAATTCCAATAACTTCCTGCAGAGTGGATCTGAGCTCTCTGTGTGTCTGTTGTAGATCAGAGGAAGGTTAGCACCTAAACCTGTGGCAGGAGAAGGAAGGTGATAAAACCAAGACTACACAGAAATTGCTGCTTGAGCCAATTCATGGTCTCTTAGTTTCTCATCTCTGGTGGAACCTTTCCAAAATACCAGGGAGAATGGGATGGAGGAGCTGGCACTGTGCTCCCAGGGTGGTCTTTAAAAGTTTGTCCTGAGTTCACCACAGGTGGTTTAGTTACAGGAGACATTTGTGCTCCCCAGCCTGCAGGGAGCAGGATTTGGGATGAGGGTTATGCACAGCATTTGAGCTGGGTGCAGCCCCTTCCAGAGATGAACTGCTCTCTGCCATCCTGGTGCTGTAGGAGCTGCAACACTAAAGTTAACCTCGTGTAGGAAAGGGTCAGAATAAAACCCCAGGCTTCAAAATGGCTTGGAGTTCCTCCAGGTTCTTTTGCTCAACGACAAGAAGAGAGCAATAAGGGAATTAATCACCTGCAACTCTGCAAACCAGTGTTAGCCACTGCTACACAGTCACTGCTGTTATTTTCATGCTGTCCACAACCACTTCTTTTTTTTCTATTTTAAATGCAATGCATTTATTAAACACTTCCCCACAGTTGAGCTCCCTCAGTCCTCCATGCTTTGTTTACCAGGAATTACTGCCTTTCTGAAAGCCTGTGTAAACCTCTAATGCCTGAATACTAGTCTGCAAGCAAATATATCACTTTGGAACAGCCTCAGTCCCAGACAGCAAACGCTGAGGCCAGACTGGTGGGAAAATCAACCATACTCTGTAGGAAATCATCTCATTCAAACCCTTCCATCAGACTGTGACCAAAACGCAAAAGAGCTGGGAAAAAAGCTCGGGTTTCCAATTACTCTCTTCAAAAGGGAGAGAAAAATTGGAACGGGATCGTTCTCCCTCTGTGCTGGGGTTTGTATTGTGGCTGTAATGATCCAGCCTGGCCATCAGCCACTCCCTCCTTCTCGCCTTGCAGCTCCCTCCGAGAACAAACGATACTTGGTTGCTGTTAATTGGGAGCAGCCAAAATAACTGAATCCCCCGGAGATGGGGGGTGAGGATGGAATCTCAACGAGACACCCTGTGGATGAATGTGGCTTTCAGCTGCTCCTACGCCCCCATGAAGGGAAAAGAATAGGGTCTCTGTGAAAGTGAAACAGCCAGTGCTGACCTTGGGTTTCTGGGTTGGTTGGGTTGGTTTTTTTCCTTTCTCTCTCTTTTCTTACGTTAATTACTCACTCATCGCTTTGTCTATCACATGATCACTGGAAATTGCCAACTTGTTCTCACTCATTAATGTCACAAGGTTTAAAAATAAGCAGTCGACCAGGTTCCTGATTTAGTGCTGTTTAGCTGAATATCAGATGTGTTTCTTGTGATTTCTGACTATTATTTTGAAAATCTATGTCCCTCAGCCTGTTTCAAAACTGGCATTTTCCATCTATGAAAGCCTGCCTGGAATCATCTCTGCTGTCAGAGAGATGTGCAGTGTCCAACCTCTCAGAGGCAATGCTCGCTGTGTACACTGAGCTCTTGGGATGAGAGTCTGTAGCAAAATCCTGGCGCGAGCACACACTGTGCAAGCCGGAGCCAGGCTGTGCCTGGGACACAAGCTGCCAGTCTCTCTCACATCCCTGTCAGCATGCAAAGCAGGCAGGCCACAGGCAGTGGAAGGGGTGATGTACCCCTCACATTCCCATGCCTTCATATTCCAAGGCTTGATTGTCGCCCTCGCATGAGTCTTCTGGTTGCTTTTGCTCTGTATGGACAGGTTACGGCATATTGCTGCCTCTCTGCAGATGAGTGCTCTGACCCTGCACCCATGCAGTGTATCTGCCCATATTGGAGCAGGTTTCCAGTTCCTGATGTCCTGGGGTCCACACTAGCATTAGTCAGTGTTCTCCAAGAGGTGAGGAGCTTCAGCATGTCCTTTTTGCTTGTGCTTGTGCCACCATGATCATAGAATCAGAAAATAGTTCAGGCTGGAAGGGACCTTAAAGATCATCTAGTCCAACCCCCTGCCATGGGCAGGGACACCTTCCACTAGACCAGGTTGCTCCAAGCCCTGTCCAACCTGGCCTGAAGCTGCGGTAGAGGAGTTGGGATGAAAGTCGGGTAGTGATGCACTGGCACAGGTTGCCCAGAAAAGCTGTGGCTTCCCTATCCCTGGAAGTGTTCAAGACCAGGCTGGATGGGATTTCATGATTTATGAGTGAACCTTTCTCTCTCCATCAGCTACAAGGAGCCACGATAGACTGGTTGTACGTTGGAACTGGGGGGAGAGAGTATTGCCTCTTTTTCACACCATCCCCTCACAGGAGTGCCCCAGAGTCAAAATTTGCCTTGCCTCCCTAAATTTTGGAATGTAACCCCACAGAGATAAACAAGCTGCTGAATGAACTGTATGCCCCATCACAGATCAGGACCCTGCAGACCCTTAGGAGAGAAACAAACTGTATGTGAGCATATACATCATCAACAAAGACCAAGGGTGCTCTCTTCAGTCTTAAGCATCTGTAAAACTAAAATAGCATTTTCAGGGCCCATTTTGCCTTCTGCATCTCCATCAAATTCAGCAGGCAGATTGTCCTGTGGCAAACAGGGGAATTAAAAAAACAGTCTTGAGAGGTGCTGAGGAAGAAAGCCTGAAAAGTGTACAGCAGAGACAACTGCTGGAAAATGGACAACAAATTGTGACAACTCCCCTCTGCTAGAATACGGAAGCAACATGCAAATATTTTGTCTCTTATCAGAGGCTTTGGGTTGCGAGAGGAAATGAGACTTGCCACCTGCTTCAGAGTCTGCTCTCATTTTGCTTTTTGTGCTGTCTCACCCTGGGTCTGCCAGGTTCTACCTCCCTGCCTGCACTCTCTCATGGTGTTTAACACGATCCTATCCCAGCATGGGTCTCCCATGCTCAAGCTTTTCCACATTCTCAGCTCTGCCAGCAGCTAGTATCTGATGCAACAGGAAAAAAATACACCATTTCTCACACTCAGGCAAAATACTTACTTGCATTTACTGATTTTTGGCCATCTCTATGCTCTGCAGCTCCAGCTGGGTGCATATAAGATTAGGAGTCAGATCCCACTCTTGCAAAAGTGTGTGTGTTGGCTGCACAGGAGTAACCACAGAGTCTGTTGGGTCTCCATCAGCACCAATGTCAGTTCAAGCATGAGCATCTGTGATGAGTTCTCCTCTATTTTGTCTGACATAAACATCAGCAGGGAAGAGAAATATCTAGGTTATTGGGAAACAGCAAGTGTTGGGAATTAATTCAGTGCTGGGAGGTGTTCTCCAGATGTTAGGATCCTGCTGTGCCCTGAACCTGAATCTTTCCAGCCAGAGCTTAGGAACTCTGCAGGTTGCCAAGGAACAGAGCAGAGCAGGCAGAGGAGTGCCCAGCACTGGGTTTGGGTGCTCTGAGCATCCAGGCACATCTCTTCCAGCCCGTCAACATGGCTCCATGGATGCTCCCAAGGCTTCGACGCTGTACCCAAACTACAGTCAGGTCTGATGTGGAGCCTCTCATTTCTCCATCACTTCCCAGTCCTCGGCCTTCTTACATGTGGAGGGGTAAGGGCTGCAGGTTTGGGACTGAATTTTTCCAGTTCTCCCTCTGCCCTACTCACTGCAGCAACCCCAGACATAACCCAAGTGCAAGTTGTGAGTGGGAACCTGAGCTTCTTTGCAATCTCCATGATTTGGTTGAGATTATCTTCACTCATGTGCGGACAGGCAGGTTATCCCTTAGATGAGTAATTACACCCCGGTTTTGTCCCTGAGCAGTTTGTTCCGGGGAGAAGGGTGAAAAATCCCCTTCATGAATCATCAGGTGCTTTCTTACCATCTAACTGCTTCTTGCACCCCCTTGTTGGCAGCTCCTGGTTCCTCCTGAACATGCTCCAAGCTGAGTGCCCAAGGAGGTGGGGAGAGAAGCTTGTGACATTGCTGTGTCCACCTGACATAGGTTGAACTGCAGGGACAGGGCTGTGCCATCCTTCTCCATGATGAATATAGGTCTACTGGCCGGGGAGAAGATACCCCCTGGGAATCTGGTACTCCCTCAGACCCTCTTCTAACTTCCCAGAAGACCTGGTACCCCTAAACTCCCATAATATTCACAGAATCATGGAATGGTTTGGGTTGGAAGGGACCTTTAAGACCATCTCATTCCAACCCTCTGCCATGGGCAGGGACATCTTCCACTAGACCAGGTTGCTCCAAGCCCTGTCCAACCCGGCCTTGAACACTTCCAGGCATGGGGCAGCCACAGCTTCTCTGGGCAACCTGTGCCAGTGCCTCACCACCCTCACAGGGAAGACTTTCTTCCTAATGTCGCAACTAACCCCGCCCTCTGTCTGTGTGAAGCTGTTCCCCCTTGTTCTGTCACTCCAGGCCCTTGTCCAAAGTCCCTCCGCAGTTCTCTTGGAACCCTCTTAGGCACTGGAAGGGGTTCTAAGGCCTAGTGTCTCATGAGGAATGGCAGCACAGTCTTCTCCCTGCTGCACCACTGTTAACATTTCTTCTTTCTCCCCTCCTTACAGGGCACAAAGACGACATTCCCTAGCACCGGGCTCAAGACCGCCGCAGGCAGGGAGATGACAGCCATCCTGGAGCGGATCAGCACGCTTTCCCTCAGTGGGCAGCACCTCAGCCGGCTGCCCCGGCTGCTGGAGGATGGCTTCCCCAAGATGCCTTGCACGGTCAAGGAGTGTGAGGTGCCACAGCTCTTCCGCGAGCCGGGCTACCGTCCCACCGGCCAGGACTGGCGCTACTACTTCCTCAGCCTCTTCCAGAAGCACAACGAGGTGGTCAATGTATGGACTCACCTCCTGGCAGCACTGGCTGTGCTGCTGAGATTCAAGACGTTTGTGGAAGCTGAGCAGTTACCCATGGACGCGTGGTCCTTGCCTTTGCTCATCTTTGTCCTCTCCTCTGTCACCTACCTGACCTGCAGTCTCTTGGCCCACCTGCTGCAGTCCAAATCAGAGCTGTACCACTACACATTCTACTTTGTGGACTATGTTGGAGTCAGCATCTACCAGTATGGCAGTGCCCTGGCTCATTTCTACTACAGCTCTGACCAGGCCTGGTATGACAAGTTCTGGCTTTTCTTCCTGCCTGCTGCAGCTTTCTGCGGCTGGTTGTCCTGTGCCGGCTGCTGCTATGCCAAATATCGGTACCGACGGCCTTACCCCATCATGAGGAAGATGTGCCAGGTGATCCCAGCTGGGCTGGCATTCATCTTGGATATCAGTCCTGTTGCTCACCGGGTGGTTGTGTGTCACCTGGGGGGCTGTGAGGAAGATGCTGCCTGGTACCACACATACCAGATACTGTTTTTCCTTATCAGTGCTTATTTCTTCTCCTGCCCTGTCCCTGAGAAGTACTTCCCTGGCTCCTGTGATATCATTGGCCATGCCCACCAGATCTTCCACACCTTCCTGGCCATCTGCACCCTATCACAGCTGGAGGCCATTCTTCTGGATTACAAGAACAGGCAGGAGATTTTCCTGAAGAGACATGGGCCTTTCACTGTTTATCTCTCCTGCATCTCTTTTTTTGGCTTGGTGGCTTGTAGTGCCATCACAGCTTACATCCTGCGGTGCAGGATCAAGGCCAGCCTGGCTAAGAAGGACTCCTGAGAGTCACAGATGTGACAGGCATGACATCACCAGTGAAAATCAAGAAAAGGGGCATAACCTATTAGAGACATGACTGTCTTACTTGCCTAACATGCTGTGACTAACCAGGACCCTGGACTCAGGTGGAGGGCTGGAGACTTCATGCCGGATGCATTTTCACAGCAGGGATTGTCATCCAGGGTGGGGATATGGACTGTGTTAAGCCAGAACAAGTCACTTAACCAAGGATGCTGGTATAGGCAGAGGTTTCTTGTTCATTCTGTTAAAGCTGTGGGTGATACCTTGCTGAATGTCAGGGAGGGCAGCCTGAAGGCTGTGAGGCTGTAGAAGAATCTGCCAGGGCTCACAACACCATGAGGGCGGCAGCTGGATGTGATAACCTCTCCAGGTTTTGCCATATTTGTGGGCTACCTGTTCCTGTCAAAGGCAGTAGGAAGGTTTCAGGGGGAGTCTAGATTTGTAGGGTTCAGCTGTGAGGGCATGTGTGGCACAGTGGCTGGTATAATCCTTTTCCTGTTCCAGCCAGGTTCTCTCTATGATCCCCTTGTCAAGTATGTCAATGCCAGGTTGTTGAAGTGGCTTTATCAAAACATCTTTGGCAACTTAGGCCTGACCTGAGGTCCTCTAGGACAAACTGGGTCTGTATCATCTGTGTAGGGAGTCAGCTGACCTCTAGTGATGTCCATGCAGTGTAGAGTAACTTGGATGTGAGCTGTCTGATACAGGAAAGGTTCTGATCCTCCAAAAGCCCTACCGTGGTCATGGCCCAAAGGGTATGAAGGTGAAGTAGTCTTTATTGCCTTCTTTGGGACACCGTACAGTCCTTGGTGGCCCTCTTGGGAAAGCTAACCTTGAAGCTGCAGGGTTGCTTTTCTCTGACCAGTGTGACTCTGGCATGTTTTTATCAGCACTACATGAAGGTAGAAGAGCAAAAGGTAGGAGCAGGGTGACAGCATTAGGGTCCTGTGCAACCTTGGGATGGATTTGTCCTTGAGACTTGGTGATTCCTGTGTGGAATAGAAAAGATAGTGGTCAGGGACACTTAAAGTCCATGAGTCACTGCTGGCCAAGTTGTAGTAAGGGTTGGGTTACCATGTACCCCACTAGACGAGTCCCTTCTGTGCTTGCCTGGGGGCAATATCAGATATGAAGCCACACTGAAGCTATGTGAGACCCAAAGCCTCAAATACCTTGACACCTGGCAAATTTCCAAGGAAGTATAAATCCTTGCTGAAACCAAGGAATTCATGGGATCTATTCCAGCCACAGATTTGTCTCACTGAACCCAAAGGCAGGCAACTGAATTGTGATTGCTGGTTCTGAGCAGGCAGTGTAGGTTGGGGGATACAGTTTGTGAGGATAAGCACTGATTTCTCTACTTGATCTGTGTTTTAGCTATTGAGGTGTGTTTGTGTACATGTGTGTGCACATGATTTATTATTCAGAAGGGTTTTACCTTTACATTTTATACCTGCAGAGCCTCCTAGCTGGGTCAAGATTAGCCTGAAGGAAACAGTGCTGTGCTGCTGGAAGAGCAAGGTGGGCCAGACAGCAGATCTATTAATAGGTGATGGAAAACAGATCTATTAATAGGTGCTTTGCTGGTCCTGTGTTTTGTGGATAAACTTGGAACTCATGGCCCTATAGACAAATGAACTACAAAAGAGGAGGGAAGTAAGTTTGGAGTATAGGAGAAGAAATAATAGGAAAGCCTTCAGGAGGTCATCGAGTTCAACCTTTCTCATCACTCTGGGCCTCCTGGTTTATATCCAGTCCAGCTTAGAAATTAATGACTTCATTTCTTTCAGTGTCTTTTGATGGTACAGCCATGCTGACCTAGCAGCAAATTTGCCTCAGGGGAGATGCCAAGCAGGGATGGTCCTACTTAGACCTTCCCATCATCATCCCTGTATCATCATATCCCTTCCCATGCACAGAAGCTCATCTCACCATGAAGTAAGCTGGTGCTGGGAGATGGACTGTCAGGAAACCAATCCTACTGAAAAAATGTCAGTAATTTTTGGCTTGTTTTAACTTGGAGCCAGCTCACTTGGACCATGCTGCTGCCTGCAAGGAAGGGCTGGAGTGGAGGCCAGCAGATCCTCCTTGCATAGCAGCTAGAAGCTCAACTAGGTTAGCTGTGCTGATGAACTGCGCACTCCATGACCTCTGTGGTTTTGCTTGTGCATCTCCTCCCAGTTTGGGGAAAGACTTCCGGTGGGAGCAAAGCTTTTTCCTTTTTTTTGGCCTTGATTTTGGGGTAGGTAAGGTAGAATAAGGCACTGAGTGTAGATCTGGCTGGATGGCATCAGTGGGCTCCTGTGCAGGAAGGGGTGTAAATCAGGATGGTCCAGAGCTCATTTCTGGGATAAAATGGAGAGGGATCAGGCATGGCTGTTAGTAGCAAACCTGCTCTGTTGCTACCTGGATTTATGCTGGTACCAAAGGAAGGGATCACCCAGGTGTCTCCTTCTCCAAGGGTTTAGCGTGACATGTCCTGCCTATGTCAAAGGAGGGTGAGTACAGTAATGCCACCTAGTTCAGGGTCAGGAAGAGGAACCCACGTGGCTCTTCCAAGGTATTTTGGGTCATACGTCTTCTCCTCTGTGGTCCAGCAGAAGTGAAACTTCTCCTCTGGAGCAGCTGTTTGACAATGGTGGTGTTTTTGCATACTCTTACTTTACCACTCAGGTGAAGCCACTCCCATCCCCGTGTGGCCCTGCACTCCAGCCTGGAGCTGACCTTCTGGTTACTATGATGGGTGGATTGAGCAGGGACCTACAATACGGATTTGTGCTGCTGTGAGGATGTGCCCTTGCATCACAAAGGGCTCACAACACACTGGAGCTTCCTTCATCCGTGTCTCCATCCTCCTCCTCTTTCTCCAACCAGCTTATTTCCTTCCTTCATCCCCAGATTTTGTCCTTGTGCCTTATGTACCTGGCTGCCTACCTGAGCAGACTCCACATGCTGTGCAGTCTGCTAGCCCTCAGCTGGGAAGTGGCCGTGGATGCCCTCTGGAAGCCCTGGCATTGATCCAGAGGAAACCAGAGAGCACAAGTGCTGCTGTGATAAATGCTCAGCTTGTCTTGGAGTTGCTCAGGGCCTTCTTCTTGGGCTCACTGCTTGGAGCACATCTCCTTCCATCCTGGCTTTCCTAAGGAGGCACGCCTGGGAAGGTTATACCAGTGGCCAGGTTTGGTGAAGAGCTGACCACCAAAGGTTGAGCACAGCTGAGATCCCAAAGGGACTGAGGTCCTAACCCTCTCCCCCAAGGATCTCTGGATCTGAGATAGTATTCTTGCAAGTGTTGCAAACCAGGACAACTCCTGAGAATTCATCCCAATGTGCCTTATGCTATTGCTTTTCAAGATTCATCCTGATGGAACCTGAGGCTCAGGAGCAACCTCTCTGCTACCTGCTAGGCCTTGATTGCTCTTAGGAGCTGATTCCCACTGAGGGGATTTTCTCAGTGTGTGGAGCAGGAGGGGAGGATGGAGACAGGTGACTTAATTTGTATTTATGTCTAATGATTCGTGTAACGAGGCAAGGACAGGTTCCTGGTGTGCCTTGCAATTTACATCTTTTACTGACGATTATTTCTAAGCACTGTTTGTTACTAAACAGAAGTACAAAAGAGTTTGTATTTTTTTCTCTGGAAAAGTGGGAAGGGTATGGGTGTTCCATATGAACCATCCCCTTCCCAGCTCCCATCTGCTGACTTTGTATTGTTGAAAACATTGACAATATTTTAAGCTTTGTACTGTACTGATCATTATTTAAAAACCTTAGTGAAAAAAAAATTGTGGAGGCAAAACTTGGTGTGGTGTGAAATTCTCAAGTGCACAACTACAGAAGTTTATGAGTTACTCATTAAGAAGAATAGAGGGAGGATATATTATAGTGGATGATAATTATAATGATGAATAATAGGGTGTGGTTTTATCTGTGCTTCTCAAAGCACTTTCCAGGTTTGACAATAACTCATGGATTTCATTCTGTTTTCATGGGGCTGAAGTGCCCCATGAGGACCAAGACCTGCAGAGAGGCAGCCACCCACTACAGTGTCACCCATATTGATCATCTCTTTAATCCTTCCCTGTAAGCTCTCCGTTGGCTCAGAACTCCATGCACTCCAGCTGTTCTCTTGCTAAAGGGCAGCTCCCCCTCCTCACCTTCTTGACCTGTCCTTAAAGAGCCTGTCCGTATCCCTCCATTGCAACACTCGTGTCATGGGAGTCATCCCACCACATCTTCCTGATCCCAATGAGATCGTAGCGCTGTGGCTGCACACAGATGTCTGATTCATCATGCCCATGCTGCCTGCATTACTGTACACACACTTCAGGGAGACACTCCAGCACAATTCCCAGATTTAGGGATCCCAGTTTTAGGGATTTCTCCATCATGGCCTCCATCATTTTGCGATCCCTTTCTGTCACATCGTTTTGGGTCCTCACCTTATCAGCCTTGTCCAGGAGGATCGTGTCTGATCAGGTATATTCCCCATCCCCAAGGATATACACTTGGTGTGAATTCCAGTCCTCGAAACCTCTAAAAAATCTTCTATTTTTCCTTCTATTAACCAATAATTTTAATTATTCTTATCATAGCACGTGGGCCAAAGCTTCTGTACAGTTGTGCTTTCACCCACCAGAGGGCGAGTTGTCTCCATCTCTGTCCTCTGCTGCCACGAAGGCAGAGCCTGATAAAGAATCCCTTTTCCCTTTCACAAGTAGGCAGCAGGGATGTAGGATTTTAACCTTGTCAAGCCGAACTTGTCTATACAGAAGTTGTCAAAGATGCAGCTGAATCCACATCTTCTGCATTCCACTTCAATTCCTTATTCCACATTTCTCCTCCCTCCTGTGTTTTGGTTACTATTCCTGAGAAAGTAACAGCTTCCGCTATGGCTTTCCTTAATCTTTCTTTCATAGGGACATAGAATGGTTTGGGTTGGAAGAGACTTCAGACATCATCCAGTTCCAATCACTTGCCATGGGCAGGGACACCTGCCATTAGAACAGGTTGCTCTAAGCCCT